TCCATTTCAACGTCCTCCTCTTGTTCATTGACCTCCTCCTGTTCAACATTCTCCTCGTGTTCAACATTCTCCTCCTGTTCAACGTCCTCCTCCTGTTCAACATCCTCCTCCTGTTCAACGTCCTCCTCCTGTTCAACGTCCTCCTCCTGTTCAACGTCCTCCTCCTGTTCAACGTCCTCCTCTTGTTCAATGTCCTCCTCTTGTTCAACGTCCTCCTGTTCATGGTCTTCTTTTTGAGAGGCCACATCTTTACAACTTTAACACACAAAAAAGATCCTTAAATTTCACGAGGGACGATTCAGTCTTTGGTGTAAAAGGAATAAAATGGCACTTTAAAAACAAGAGGTAAAAATAAATTAGATCTGATTAAAAGAAAGAAGATCATAAAACATTTGCTATGTTAAAAACATCAACTATTGTTTTATCTAAAAAAAACCCAGAAACTTTAGACTTATTGGTCACCTTACATTTTTGATAGTTTGGTGATCATTCGGTTTCAATATGTCCACTGGAGCAACAGTGGTCTTCATATATTTTATGAAATTATGTGTTTTTTTGTTTGTCAGGTCCGAAAAATACATCCTGAACGACAAAGTTTAACATTTCAAATATTAGATTCAATGGTCAATGTTTCTGCATCATTATAGCCCTAATGTTTGAATTTGCATATAAAGTATTTCTAACTTGGAATCTGTGGTGTTTAAACTCTTTAGAGACAACTTTAAAATAAAAATAATAATTTACTGGTTTGTTTGGGCTGGCTGAAGACTCCTGTTCACGATGAACTTGTGAAACCTTGAAGATTAGGTCTCTTCCACTGAATTTCATCCCACTCATGTCACATCTGAATAAGGTTTACCTGCAAAATCTAGAGGCTCTGATACTTTTGCAACAGTAATATCCATCCATCCATCCATCCATCCATTATATTTTACCCGCTTCTTCCTTTTCGGATCACGGGGGCCACTGGTGCCCATTTCCAGCAGTCACTGTGCGAGAGGTGGGACACCCTGGACAGGTCTCCAGTCCATCACAGGGACACATAGAGACAAATGAGACAACAATTCACTCTCTCACTCACACCTAGGGACAATTTAGAGTTACCAATCAGACGAACATGCATGTTTTTGGTCTGTGGGTGGAAACTGGAATACCCATAGAAAACCCACACATGCACGGAGAGAACATGCAAACTCCACCCAGAAAGACCTTCGGCCAGGATTTGAATCGGGGCGACCTGCTCTCTGAGAGGCTGTAACTCTTCCAACTGTGCCACTGTACTGCCCACAGTAATATCCAGTTTTCTCAATACACATCTAAAAAATAAAAACATTTTTGGGGATTTTTGCATCTAGGAACTATTTACCCTTTTGAAACTTCTAAAGGGCTTACAAACTTTCAAACACCACAGTATACAAGTTTATTTAGGTAAAGTTGTCCTCACCAGAGTGATGATATGTCGTGAAGATTAGTGTCTTTTGTGAGAATAAAATAAGCAAACTTAAAACACAAAATACACAAATGCATTAAAAAAAACTACATTTAAATTATAGTTGAAGATGCTGTGTCACTAAACTTAAATGAGTTTCTAAAATCTTTATTTCTTCACCTCTGTGGAACATCGTCAGTCTCAAAGGACGTCAGGTCGATGTGTGCTTCTTTCAGGAGTCTTCGGCGAAGCTGGCAAGCAGCAGGCGAGTCATCGGGCGAATAGTCCAGCTCTTCCTGCGTCGGCTGCCTGGAGACCAGCATCGTCTCATCCGTCATGCAGCTGCAGGTGAGCGGGAGAAGTTTTCAGGATTAAAAGCTCCACGGGCTGCATATTTATCCGTTTGCACCAGCAAATTTAATGTGATTTGTTCTATTTTGCAGCAGTTTACCTGGAAAAGCTGCTGCCCAAGGACATTTTGGAGGCTTGGCTCTTCAGCCTGCCGTAGGCGTGACGTGAGGAGGGGGCTTCATGTGGGGTGAGGGGGGGAGGCAGGGCATCCAAACCTTCCTGAGATGACAGCGTGTTCTGACGGGAGATCCAGCTCTCATAAAACTGCTTCACGCTCTCCTGACTCACCTCTTTGCCCTGACACGTGAGAGAAAAGGAAAAGGAAATAAAAAAATAAAAAAATAAAAAAATCAAGCATCATTTTTTTTTCCAACATTAAATAATCAGGTTTATACGTTTGTTTTTTTATTTCCACCTTTTTTTGCTGCTGGTTGAGTAACGCTCGCTCAAAGCGCAGCACTTTGGAAATGTCCAGGCTGTCTTTGCAGAAGGAGTTCAGACCATCCGTCAGGTCATCAAGAAGAGACTGAAGAAACACCCAGCTGAATTTGATCGTGTTAATGATGCGCTGCAAGATGTTTTCTGCAAGTAGAGAGCAAATAAGTGCAAATGTATCACTTACAGTGAATGAGAGTGAATGTTTAAATTTCTGCAGCAACACATTCAGTTCATTCAGAGCTACAACATATCCTCTTTCATGATGACCTTTTTCCTCCTCTCCCTCTTCCTCCACAGCACTTTCATCCAGTTCTTCCTCACTTGAGTCTGTTCTTTCAATGCCTAAAATAGGAGATTTCATAGTTTTATAATTTAATCAGCTTTCGAGCTCAGATGACACTGAAACACATATTTGTTTCTCACCCTGCTGCTTCTGCAGCTCTCTCTTTGCCCGCCTCTTTTCCTCCTTCTTAAAAATCTTCTTCTCTTTCTTCAGGTCCTTCAGAGCATTTTTTGAGCTGGTGACCCAGGCGTTGTAGGCCAACTGAAACACAAACAGTTACTCATGTGGCAACAATAATCATTCCACATCTATCTTTTCAAGAAAAAAAACTTGTCCCTCATCCAAATAGAAATCCTGTTCTCCTTACTCCTGCTTTGTTCTCTGTGTGTTTGGAGCTCCTGGTACACACCTCCCAAACAAAAAATATGATTATAGAGCTGGTGAGATGGACTTTCAATGTAAACGACAAAATATTTTCAGCAAAACGACACGGTCCTGGAGAACCCTCTTGTCCAGCTGAGACTCATGCTGCGAGGTACATCAGAGATCCGTGGGGAGTTTGGCAGCTGATGTGTCTCTCAGTTCTGTCTCAGGAGGACGCCGAAGATGTTTATATATTTGGATTTATGATAGCAGGGGTTCTGCTCTTTGGCATCGACGGGGCTCTGTTTTATCAACTTTTGAAGAAGACATCGGCAGCAGTTTTGGCCATGGCAAAATTTCTGAGTTAGTGTGAAGGTTTGGTTCATGCTATGAGTACTCAAAATCAGCTGATTTACAGGCTAAACCGTAAGATGGAGGCACAATTGGTGAGAATCGCAGGCCACATGCGGCTCCTAGGACTCACCAACATGTTGGGATCGACCTTGAGGAAGGCTCTTAACACGGATCAGTGGAGTGGAATACCCATAAATTTGGCCATTTTGGACCGGAAAGTTTCCAGCAGGACTCAAGGCTGACAAGAAAACAACTCTCTGCCTGAAGAAAAATCAACAATTGTGGCTTATCTGAATCCGACTCCCCCGTTTGGCCTCGGATATGAGCCGACTATCAAATTTCTCCTGGGACATGGGTAACTAGGGACAAAGCTTTGCCTATCATACTACACCCCCCCCCCCCCCCCCAAGAACCTTTGTGCAGGTTTATCAGAACTGCCGGCTGAATAACATCAGGACTATGGTCTATCTAAAGTCCTCATGGACAAACCTCAATGTCTTGTCGTCAAATGCACATGTAATGTGTTTATAAATGTGTTTGCTGGTAGTGTTTTTTGATGTCTCAAATCGTGTCCTGATAGCACAAGATGTGAAGCGATCTTTTTTGTTATACCACTAGCCATCCTCATGGCTCTTACCTTTTAATATCTAAAAGTATTCTGATAAAGAATAAAGGGCCGCATTATTATAGCAGCAGCAACGTGCACTCCGCCCATCTTTTGAACAACTGTACGAACATAATTTCACTGTATCCCGGTACGATGATAATAAAGCTTATTCTGATTCTGAAATACAGACTGAAACAAACTCGTTCTTTTGCTGTTTGTCTTCAGTGTTTGCCTCTAACCTGGAAAGCTGATTTCTTCTTTGGTCGTTCTTCTTCCTCTTTCTTCTCGGTAACTTCCTCTTCATCCTCTTCACTGTCACTCTCAAACAAGTGGTAGCCACAGTTGTTTTCCACTGTGTTAAACAGCAAGGTTACAGCATCTCATCAAAAACTGCTCAGTGGTCAGAAACAAAATATATCAGATGTATATCTACAGACTGTGTTTTATCAGCTCCAGACCAACTCCAATTTAAAATTAAAATTAAATCAGTAGGTCAAATTTTAGAAAATATGATATTCTTGTGCTTTTCTTTTACTTGCTTCCAAAGGTGTTAATGCTTTGGGCCATGCATGTGCTTTGTTTGAACCAGTGGATGGAGTACAAATAAGCTTTTTGATAGTAATCACTGAATAAACATCTATAACAAATTAATATTTGGAGTCAGTCCTAACGAGCATAAAAAGTCATTTGTTTCTTCTGCTGTGTCCTTAATAGGGTCCTATTTAAACGCAACCTCATACAACAATTGTCTGCTGGGGAGTTTTTATATTTTTAATGTATCGTCTATTTCAGAATGTTCTTTTATTGGGTTAGCAAAGCTTTTTATGTTTTATGACATTTTTCACTTGTATTGTTTTTTTATAAGCCAGATGTCAAAGATAAATCTCTATTTCATATGGACAATAAAGTTATACTGAATTGAATTGAATTCAAGATGGCCACCACAGCTAACAGACCTTAGCCAACACAAAAAAAAACCCCATAAATTCAGTCAGTTTTACAGGTACTGAGCTAAAATGTGGTGCAATTGTAGCCGAGAAGGTGCTGTGCGACAGTGTTAGTATTAACCGTTGGTGCCAACTTTGTCGTGTTAGCAAAATATGTCATGAACAACTGGACAAATCTTAATGAAGTCAAACGCTGCGGCTCACCTCCAGGCTGAGAGACCCAAGGCTTCCACCACTTCCCCGCATCTCTCTTTGCCTTTTCGTCATCTGATTAAACAACAGTTCATGTGCTTTATTCATGACTTCCTTCTTGTAAGAGGATATAAATATTCCGCAGAAATAAAACCTTTAAAATGTTTGTGTTCAGCTGTTTTTAACGCTTCTTTGACTGCTAACATTAGAGATGGAAATGTTACCCAGTGCTGCCTGATCTGCAGGAAGTTCTGCTTCGTCTGAAGCCGTCTGAGGACTCCTCTGTTTAGATTTTATCTTCTCCATCCTACATGAGGAGAATGGAAAGGTGGATTAAATACTGTTTACTCTTTTAAGAGCAGATAAAAGGGAGATAGAAAGATGGAAAATGTGCTGATCGCCACTACAAACAGGCTCCATTAATTGATTTAATCACAGTTTTACTGTATGGTCTTACTGTCTCTTCAGCGTCTCGACAGATTTCTTCTCCATCTCCAGTCTGGCTGCTATCTGCTTCTTCACTTTGGCCTCAAACAGCTCAGCCCCCCTTAGAGAAAGGGAGAGGCAGAGAATTTTACTTGTATGAAATTTAAATTTTCCGTACATTTTTATTTTTTACAACCTTACTACTTCTGCATACTTTGTGCTATTTTAGCCATTTATCAAATATGTTCAGCTCATTCAGGCTGTTGTGACTTTTGATAGTTTTATACTTTTCAAAGTATTTAACTTTATTTTAAAATGTTTTCCCCATAGAAATACACTCCTTCAAATCATTGCTCTCTTAGAAATTGGCTTCAACATACCGGCTCTGTTGTTGCCTTTTATGTTGCAGTCTGTGTTTTACTGGTTATTTAGTTCGTTTAGTTGCTCCGTTATTTTGTCCGTTGTGTTTTGGTTCAGCTCCCTGTGTTTCCCTGCCTGTTCTCATTTTTACCCTCAGTCATCCTCCTTCAGCTCTTGTCAGTTACCACACCTGTTTCCAATTAGTAATCACGCAGGTGCTCCCACTTTCCACTCCCCCTCTGTACTATTTAAACCATTTCTAATCACCATTCCTGCAGCAGCTCATTGTTTTGGCTATAGCCGGATGTCTCGGTCTCCTCTTGAGTTTCCTGATTCTTAAAGGTTTGCTGCCATGTCAGCCTTTTGTTTTATTTCAATAATTCAGCTGTATTTCATTCAAGCTCTTCGTGTCCACCTGTTTCTGGGTCCAATCTCTTCACGATCAGCCGCTTTGAGCTTTTACTGTTATGACACTTTTAACTTTTAACTAAACTTTTAGTACCTTTGCGTGTTTAGCTATTATTCTGCTACTTTAACCGTTAGCAAGCCGTTTGCTGCTTTTAGCTGCTGCTCTGTTACTTTTAGCTTTCAGCTGCTAACTTCTTGATGCTTTAAACTTTTAACGAGCACTTGATATTTACCAAGCCTTTGGGTAATTGTAGCTAACCTTTTTATCTATGCTGAATAAAAATATAAATGGAACACGTTTGATTTTTGCTCTTGTTTTTCATGAGCTGAACTCAAACATCAAAAAAATATATTTTTTTTGATTTACACAATACTAGGCCTTTTTCTCTCACTGTTCACAAATATTGTCGAGATAATCCATCCACCGCACAGGTGTAGTATAACAAGACGCTGATTAGACAGCATTGTTATTGCACAGGTGTGCCTATAGGCTGACCACAATAAAAGGCCGCTCTAACACGTGCAGTTTGACCACACAGCACAATGCCACATATGTTGCATGCTTTGAGGATTTATTTTTTACTTTCACTATTGTTTTTCTCCTTTTACGTTTCAGCTAATGTTTTGCTTATTTTAGCTAGTTTTCTGCTCCCTGTTGTTTAGTATTCTGCTTCTTTCAACTCTTAACATTTCAGTTTCAACATCTTCAGCTGATTTCAGCAAAGTTCTTCAGCATTCAGTCTTCACATAACTTTTTTGTGTGGAAAGAAAACAAGAAAAAAATATTCTAACCTTACAGTATAACCAAAAGCTTACTTTTTTTCTGATAAATTAAACATTTTGATTCCCTGTAAAATAAACTAAACTCCACAGTATTTACTATTAAACATGAATAGTTGATTATTTACTTCTCCTTTCCAGTACAACCCTGAAAGTCATTTTAAACCACATAAATCTGAAACACTTCATGGTGCATTCTTAAATGAAAGCCTGACATTTTATTTTACATTATTTTCACTTTGTTTATTTTTAAAAAAAGAGATGCACAGCTTTAATTTAAAATGTTCATAGTCAGCTAAATATTTTAGGTGTCAAGCAAACATTTACAGCTCCTAAAGGTTGCAAACATTGCTCTCAAAGATTGTAACAGACCTTGAGGCTAAAATCTTTGAGGATTTGAGGTCAGACACCACGTAGAGGAAGTAGTAGCTCAGGAAGACCCTCCTCTGTGCCAGGAGGACGGTGAAGCAGATCGCATCCCAGACGATGCCGGCTTCACCCTCTGGCAGCTCACACTCGTCAACAGGCTCCGCTGAGAAGCAAAAATACAAGAAATTAAATAAATGTGTTCAGATAAATGATTGAAAATACGACTACATCACTCTGATGCCTGGTAAAGTCAAACTCTTTTGTTTGTTGCATAATTCAGAGAAAGTCAAACCCTCACATCCTTCAAAACTTTTTATTTATGCAGAACTATTTTTAATTTGAGTGTCATATACAGAGGTGCAGGAAAAATCTCTTTCTTATACAATATTTATTATATTGCAAAGGAAAAACAGCTTAATCAAGTTTTTTTTTTAAGTTACCTAAATATCATCTCGTATTTTGTATTAAATATTTGTTTTTTGTTTTTTACAGAACACAAAAAGTGCATCGATGAGTATGAGTGTTTAACATTACACACAGGTGAAAAGATCTTGAATTAGGTAAAAAAATAATATCAGTAATATCAAAGTTATTGTTCTCGACACTACTCCGAGTTGTATTTTTAATCTAAATGTTTATTTTTAATAATACACAAAACATTCTGTATTAAAAAAATTACATTATTTTTTCCTCTCTCAGTTTGTTTTGGTACTTTATGATTTCAAACTACCGTAAAATGCAAACTAAATATGTATTTTGAATGTATGCAGAATTTGAACAGTCAGTCAAATAATTGTTTAAAATGTGTTTGACTAATAAGCCAGCTGCAAGATGGTGTAAAAGACAATGTTCATATATTTATTCATGCAACATACATTACATAAACCTCGGGTATTTTTAAGAAACAAGACGATTAAGTTTATTTGTTGCAGACACTTACGAACATCGTAGCCTTTGATGGTGCAGAACATGCTGAAGGCCTGAATCAACCAGCAGCTGTTCTTCAACAGGCTGTCCAGGAAACCACAGGAACCAAGCTGATGGAAAGACAGAGAAAGGCCACGACTTACAGAGTAAACACGCCTCCATTTTTATCTTCAACTAAATCTCTATCTTTCCTGGTTGGTTACTTACAGACAGCAAGTTCTTCATGGTGATCACAAAGCAGGTGTAGCCGATGAGCCAGTCCCACAGGCGAAGTATGTACCTGACCGGCTGCATCAGCACGCTGCCACCAAACAGCATAAAGTAAAAACAGGCGACCAGGTATCCGAGGCAGAAGATGTTGATTCGCGTGGTGCCGGTGATGAAGATGAGGCAGAGCACCAGCCAGAAGAAGTAGCTGAAAACAAACACCTTCACCATGTCCAGGTAGCTCCTGAAGAAGAAACAAAGAGGAAAACCTCCACATTGAGCGTGCTGACGGGTGAATTCAAAGACACCCAAGGTGCTGTGATGGACCTGTGCAGAAATGTGTTTAAATTAAATTTTAAATGTGTTATTTTGTTTACAGCAGGTGGTAAAAGAGGAAAAATAAACCCCATAAACAAGTGCTTTTAGGAATGGAAGTTGTCTCCTGATGCTTACTCATCAGTTTCAGTTCGCTTGAACAGCTTTCAGGAGTTTGACAACATGCATAAATTAATAATTTAACTTAAACCTTTATCTTAAATGACCACACGTAGCAGGATGGACTCCAGATTAACTAAGTGCTTCATTATAGAGTTTAGGCTACTTCCTGCTCTAAATCTAGATCACGATAATGAGTTATGTAAAAAAAAAAAAAAAAAAAAAAGTTTTTTTTTTTAAACCAAACTAATGGTAAAATCAAGTCTAACTAATGGCCTTAAGACATTAGTAAACCTTATATAATTTAACATGTTTGGAGAAATAAGTTTCATATCAGCTTTCATAAACAAATAAATCAGTAACGCAATGGGGGAAGAGCAAAAAAATGTAATTTAAACACAAAAACAAAACATAAAACTGCTTCACAGCACAGGACACATAAAAGTTTTGCCGCTAACAAAGTGAATATTCAACTAGAAAGTTCCTGGAGAAACTTTGACGGGGACTGCCAGGCTGCTGCTGATTTAAATTGTTGATTCGACAGTAATATGTGTTTGGGTTCGCTCTCAGCTACCAGTATACCAAATTTCAGCTGAATCGCTCTTAAAATGGCTGAGTAATTGTGTTTTTTCTATTTTAGCTAAGGAGGCCATCTTGGATATTTAATTTGCATTAGGAATGAATAACAACTCGCTCTCAGCTACAACCATACTAAATGTCAGCTCTATATCTCAAAGAATGATTGAGTTATAGTCAATTTTGTGTTTGCTGAGGTAGCTGTGGCAGCCATCTTGAATCAAAATGGCTCCAAATGTTAATCAGTTCTAGACATTTATGTGATGGTTACTTTCTGTGAGTTTCAAACAAATCCAACAGTGACTTTCTGTTTTCTTCAGGGACCACTCGAAGTCATGTGACTTGACACCAGCAGTTAATGTGAGGAGTGTTCTCTCATTCATTTCCTGTGGGGAAATACGGCATCTTTGTTTGCAAAATACATCGCCATGGTAACTCGAAACGCCAATAAAAGTAATAGCACACATCAGGGGGCCAAGCCGGTCGTTTTGATATAACATTTGTGAGGATATATTGCGGTTCGGGCCACATTAAAGTTGACGGAAGAGTGTATAAGATATAAATAAAGTTAAGAAACCCAAGTTGGGTGGATAATAATAGGTGTCTGCATATACTCTGCAGTCCCCAATAAATAAGATTAAGAAAACCGTTTTCCAGCGTGAATAATAATAAGTGTCTGCATATTGCAGTCCTCAATAAATAATAAAAAATAAATAGAAAACAAAAGGACATGACATGAAGCACAGGGACTGTCTGCAAAAGAAAAAAACATAAACCACTAAAAGGAGTAGATATTTAAAGAAACTCAATCAGAATGAGCCTGAAACATAAAATCTTTTAAATTATCATTAAAAAAAATACTAATCAAAACTTCTTGGCTCATGCATCTCATTACAGCTTTATCTTTATCTTTACATCCGTGTACAAATTCAACATTACTACAAAAATGTGAAATTATTTTCTTGCAATTTAGTCACAAACATGTCTTAATTATGTCTCAGTTTGATCACAATCTTCTCTCAAAGCTGTTCCACTCTTACAGCCTGTTCAGACTTAAAAGTTTGGGTTAAAACACCTTTCTGTAAATTTTACTCTGAGAGCCATAAACAGTAAATATCAGTTTAAAATCGATCCAAGAGTAAATTAGTATCAGTAATTATAAAATTAATTGTCTTTAGTAATTTGAATTATTAAATGTTTAGTGTATTTCTTAGTTTATATCTTAGATCCTTTATTTTACTATTTTTATTTTTGCTATTGTTGGATGTAACTGGGACCCTGTACACAGTTTCGTTCCACCTCATGTACCACAATGCGAATGATAATAAAGAACCTTGACTTTGAACTTGATAAAAACGCTAACGTTAAAATTTTCAGGAAAAAGTTGAATTTGGTAGGTTAAAACCAAAGATTTAATTCTTAACGTTCCGTTTCATATCCATAGTTTTTATGTTAGAAGAAGAAATATTGCTGGCTGAGGACAGAGTTCAGACACAGCCTTATTATCTAAAAGCATTAAAGAAGTCAAAACCAAAGACAAGTTCAATAAGAAAAGGCTATTTTTGACCTGCAGTGAAGAAAGTTGTGAACAGGTATGAACTGGTTGAAGGAACAAGGATCCAAACTGCGGCTGATCTCCACGTTGTCTCCGGCCAGCAGTCGCACCGCTGCTCGGTTCTCCTCCACAAAAACCTGCCACTGCAGAGCCGAGCAGAGCAGCAGGAGGTGGTCGTCTGCAGGGAGTAGAGAACGGATGGAAAACATGCAGACAGAAGGAAGAGGGGGGAAGAAGGTTGTCAGAATCTGTGTGGTTTGGTCCATTTTTGGTGGAAAGGTTTATTCATTTTTGGCTTGATTTACGTTTTTATGATCCTTGTGTTTAGTTCCTTTGTGTTTTTCCCTGAGCCAGTTTTACTTTTCCTCGGTTTCTGCTCCTCCGTGCTGCCACGCCCACCTCCACCTGTCCCCTATCACCAAACCACCTGTCTTCCTCCTCATCAGCTCCCATTTTCCCCTCACCTGCAGCCTGACGTTGGGCTTCATACCCCGTGTCTCCTAGAGTTATGTTATTTTGTATATTTTTGCTGCAGCTTCTGTATTAGTTCTTTTTGTGTGCGTTTAATACATCTTTTAGTTTGGGGGCTCCTTGTGTTAGTCTGCATTCTTGGGTCTATCTCTCCTTTAAACTGTGACAAAGGTATACTCACAGAAGATGAACAATGGGTTGGGTCTCATGGCAAAGTCGGGAAGGTAAAACCACTTAATAACATTTGACGTTAAAGGATGAACTGCTGTTCTCCAGGGATAATCTGTAGAAAAAAATAAAATTACACAAATTAAAAAGTCCTATTTACACTTTGAAATCCATGTTTTTATGTTAGAAAACATCACAGTTGGATCTATTTTTCTGGAACTCTGTTACCGTACATATCTGGTAAAATAAATAAAAAGTAAACATTGAACATTTATTGAATGTGGCCTCTTTTTTCGTTGTTGAACAATTTCTGAGCAACCGAACCTAAATACAGAATTCACGTTGTCTACAAAAACGTGAACGATGAGTGAGGAATGCTGAAATTTGCTTAAGAAGCTAAATTTATTCAAACTAAAAGTCAAAATATTAACTAAAAGTTCATAACACTATGTAAAAACTTAAAATAAAAAATAAAATAATAGCTAAAAGTTAAAAGTGGCAAAAGGCCAGCTAAAAGCTAAATGTTGCAACAGGCTAGCAGAAAGCAAAAAGCCGCAAAAAGTACCGTATTTTATAAGGTGCATTAAGCGAAAAAAATTCCTTTTGACAGATTTTTAGCGTTGTGTACTACATAAAATTGGTTCGAGGTCAGTAAGCACAACCAGAATTAATACATCAAATGCACCTGATAATAAGGATCACCGTCAATTTTTAAGACAATTAAAGGATTTTAAATGTGCCTTATAGTCCAAAAAATACGGTAGATTAAAAGTAACAAAAGGTAAAACACAAAAGTAGCAACACATAAAGTATAAGATGCAACAGGTTGTCTAAAAGTAGCAAAAGGTTATATAAATGTAGCAAAAGGCTAACTAAAAGCTAAAGTAGCAGAACAGTTGTTAAAATCCAAAGTAGCTGCAATAATAAATAAAAATACATCTCAATTTAGGTCTATGGGGAAGTATTTTTAAATAAAGGTAAACATCTAAATGAGCTGAATGTTTTGATAAATAAATGGCTAAACAGCGTAAAGTGTCGTAAGGGTACAAAACATGTACAGAAAAATTACAAACAGGTGTTAACGCTGACTCAGCGTTCACACTTTTATTGCAAAGCAATAAAAAAGATTGTGAAATTCCTACCAACACAGAGAGCAGGAGGGATGCCGATGCAGAGCAGGTACTGAAACACCATCAGTCCAGCTGTGAAACAGCAATATTTGGGCCAAACCTCCCCGATGGCTTTCCTACGTCGCCGAAACAGGACAGCCATCAACGCACAGGAGTGGAACAACGCGTAGAAATCCATCCTCTGACCGATTACATTCACTGCCACGATTAAACTCATCTAATGTGTAAAGAGAGACGTTAGCTACACTCCGACATGAACAGATGTTGGCAAACATTTCAGCTCTTGGGAGGAACAAACACCTCAAGTCCAAATCTGTAGAAGCCAAAGTTGATGAAGTATTTGATGCAGGGCAGGACGCCGTGATCGAGGTGCTGCCTCGTGATGCCGTGGAAGATGATGCTGAAGGGTGGAGGCTTCAGGTCGTTACGGAGACGGAAGTAGAGCTGGTGGCGGTGAACAGTCGCCTCGAAGACAAGCAACCCGAGCACCATCAGATGGTTCTACAGCAGAAAAACAAAACCAGCATCCTTTTAATGCCCAATCTGTGCAATGGTTGCATGACCTTGAAAAGATCTGCAATGTATAGGAGGTTTTGATGGAATCGAGGCTTCCTTGTACCCTGAGGCAGGGGAGGATTCTGCCCTCGCACTTTCTCAGCGCTCCGCACCAGTAGACAGGGTCAACAGGTTCGATGTAGAGAACAGACCTCCGGAGCAGCTCCACCATGTTCCCCATCAGTTCTGCTCCATCGTCCAGCCCTGAGCTGTTGGACGGCAGAAAGTCCTGAAATACCACAAAGCACACAACTGAAGAGGAGGGTGAGGAAGACAACGAAAGATGTTGTCTGGACTCCATAAACAGATTTATTGTGTGAGTGCTCATGAAGCATTCACACTATTGTGATCCATTTTTCTTCCGTACATTTTTGGCACGAGTCTCATCCAGCAGTTTCAAGATACATCAAAACCTTCAGCTCTTTCAGGAGTAGGGTGCTATGACTTTTGGTAGTGTTTACACCCTTTCACTGCTCCTTTCACATTTTGTTCTGGTTCCGTCTTTTTCAGCTTCCTTGTGCAAATTAAAAAAAAAAATCACCTTTAAGTTGTTTTTTCCAGCTGTTTTGTGCTCCATTCTTTTTGCTAATTACATTTTTGTGCTTCTAACTTTTTTAAGTTAAGTTCAGCTTGTTCTGGTCCTTTCAGCTTATTTATGCAAGTTCAAGCTTTTCTGCTATTTCAGCTACTATTTAGTTGTTGTTATGTTAATTTTAACATTTTCAGCTAATTCCACATTGTTTTGTACTCATTTCAACTTTTTCCAGTCTAATTCTGCAAAAATCTGCTCTTTTGACTTTGTTCTGATAATTTAAGCTTCTTTCTGCCTTTTTAGCTACTTTTCACCTTTTTATAACTAATTTCAGCTATTTTCAGATAATACCCACTTTTGTGCTCATTTCTGCTTCTTTCAGCCTGATTGGGCAAACATGTTCTTTTTGCTTTCATCTGCTAACTTAAGCTTGTTCTACATTTTCAGCTACCTTTTTAGAATTCTTTGCTAATTTCATCTGTTTTCAGATAAATTCAAGCTATTCTTGGTAATTTCTGCTACTTTAAGCCCAATTAACTTCTTTCTGCTAATTTCACCTTGTTATGCTCTTTTCAACTTTTTTCTGCTCGTTTAAGCTTTTTCTGCTATTTCAGCTACTATTCAGCTGTTTTCATGCTAATTTTAGATTTTTCAACTAATTCCACATTTTTAGCTAATTTGAGCTTTTTTTGCTTCCTTCTGGTAATTTAATATTTTTTTCTGCCGTTTCAGTTAGTTTTCAGCCCTTTTTTTTTTTAGCTAAATTCCTAATTTTTGTGCTCACTTTGCTTTTAAAAAAATCTAATTCCGCAAATATGTTTCTTTCTGCTTTTTTCTGCAAACTTAGGCTTGTTCTTCCATTTCAGCTACATTTCAGCATGTTTTTTTTTAGCTAATTTCGGCTGTTTTTCAGCAAGTTATTCTGCAATAAGCATTTTCGCAGGAAATGTAATTTTTCTAACTCTCTTTGCATTAAGACATTTTTATATAACCCAAAGCCTTTGTGGCACAGCTCATAAGCTTGTATAAATTGTTTATTAATAATAATCATCGGTGTGGTGTGCAAGTTCTACAAAGAAACCAGGAAATAGATTTTTACAACTTACAGACAAACAGCACACACATGCAGCTGAACTCACAGCAGTGCAGTTGGACGAGTAATCGAGAGGTTTGATGACTTTGAGCTGGTAAAACATCTTGCACACCACCATGACGCAGGCCCACACAGCAGAGACGCTGGAGGCCAGAGGTCGTAACCGTGGGAACGGAAGCGCAAACACCCACAGAACCAGAAAAAGGAAGTTCATCAGTGAAACCTGTTAAAAGTGGAGGTCGATCAAATAGTGTCTTCTTTTTAACAAAAACATAAAAAACATGAAATTTTCCTGTGTGACAGTATTTATTTATTTTTTATTTTAACAGGTATGTCCCACCTCTTGCAGCGACACCCAGATGATGCCAGATGACACAATTTTGAGGCTGTGGAGCTCCATCAGTCTCCAGCTGAGCTCCTGCAGCCTGCGGAGTCCAGAGACGGCCTGAACCAGGAGCAGGCTCGTCCGGTCCACAATCAGGCCCCACTTTTCCTCACGACTGCATGGGATCGTTTCTGAGAACAAGAACATCAGACCGAACGTTACGGGAAAACACTGAAAAAGCTGTCAAGTCTGTTCCTATAATAAAAGCAAATCAATAAACTAAACAGACCACAAATTGTTGCTGACCAACAATTGCTTGAAAGCAATACATGAATGTCAAATGTCTGGTAAAAAAGTACTTTATTTAAATTTCTTATTCCTAAATGTCCTAAATTAAGGAGAAAGTGAGAACATTACCATCAGTTGCCTCCTCCTGCTCCTCAGCTCCTTTCAGGGAGGAGGTTTGTTGTTCAATGCTGTCCAGAGTCTCCTGACTTTTGCCATGTCCCACCTGCTCCTTCACAAGCCTGTCAACCCACAAATCACTGTTACTCTGAGGAACACGTTACACCTCGAAGTCAGGGGTTCAGTGATGGACTCATCGATAGTTTAATAGAATATTTGTTTAGAAAGTTCAAAAAAATTGGGCTGTGTGTCAAAAGTGTCTAACTCCTAAACAGTTGCAAAAAAAACACAATAAATGTAATTTAATACAAGAAAACTGCAGCAAAATTCTTCAAATCTGGCATCGACAAAAGTCTTACCTTTGTTGTAACTTTGCAATATTTTCTTTAATGCTGGGAATGAAATGAGAGCATTTTCATAAGTAGTACAACTATGATGAAAATGTCATAAAATGTTGAAATAAATCATATTAACTAAGAAATATTGTTACATTTTAGAAAAGCTACACATTCTAAATGTGAACATTCTTTATGCTAATCACCTGACGTGTGAAAATACATTTGTAGTGAACTAAGCTTGAATATTATTAGAAAATAAATGAGTGGCTTACATGTCCGCTATCAGATTTACTGAACACTTCAGTTCTTCTTCTCTGGAAGTAAATACAAGAAAGACAAATTCAACAAATTTACCATATATATGTAACTAT